CATGCGTCGTTACGAACGCACCTTACTGCTACAGACGACTTAACACCAATCTGGTATAACTATCGGTTTTTTGCCTTGAAGAACGTTGTGAAGTAACAGCCGAAACGTCTGCAACGGCGATCACACGAGAAGCCAATTCTTGGCGTTATACTTTAAATCGCATAGATTTTCAGTTGTGTGAATTCTGATGTCCTGCCAAACGTCGCTATTCATCGGCATTTACGCCTCATTGCCACAAGCTATTCGTCAAGGGACTTCGTTGTTCTGCCACTCCTTGCCCGCAGAGAACGAAATCACTTATTTCTGCCGCATTTTTTCCGTTCACTTCATCGGACGAAATACTCCATATCTGAGTCCATGTGACGGCATAAACATTTTTGCGTGACGTTTCTCACATAAACAAACCAGCCAACCGAGAAACGAGTAACAATTCGATGCCTGTGAAAATGGTAGCAACATGACGTTCCGGCGTTCATCCAGTCAGAGCTTATGAAACGAACGATCGAATTGACTGATTTGGTGCATGCTGTTTACCCAACCTGGTTTTTGTCTTCCTAATTACGCAACAAAACCGATATATTTACACTAAAAGAACATAATTAATGTTTCACACGTTACACAGATTTCAATTTGGTTTTGAAAAATTTTTCTGCTGGCATTTTTACTAAATAAATTTCTGGTGAAAATAATGAGCATGTGTTCTCAGACACTGCCGCCATAAATTCATTTCAGCTAAGTTAAAGTATGCTCGCCATTCCTTAATATTCCACCCCATGCGACGCTGCGCGATTTAAATTTCATTTGTAAAGCAACTGCAAATTTTTGGTTTCTTCTTCCGCTTCCCTTGCCTGAACAAGGTAGCTCAATCGGGGAGGAATGACGAACCGAACTCACAACCGAAGGATCGGAGCGGGTTCAAGTTACTCTCGGTCTCCTGACTTTCATGCTTCCGAGACAGTTCCATCAATACAACGCGCAGTGGAATTTCTATTTAACGCTACAGTATTTTTGTACACATGTATTGCTACTAGTTCTAGATCTCTCTGTCTGAAACAGTACATTGAAACAGTGGTCATAGCCACAACCCTAAAGATACAGTGGTGGGAGTTGAAAGAAGCGCTCAAAATGGAACTTACGAGAAAAATGACGAAGGAAGACTTGAAGAGGAAAGTGGACTAAGTATTGGAGCGGATGGCAAGCATAATCATAGGGTGTGTCAGAGGTCTAGTCGGAGAAACAAAAGGCACAATGCTATTATGCCATCCAGAAAGAAACAATGTTCAGGCAATCTTACGACAGAAGAAAGAGCTGTTCAAGAAATAGCAACTATTAAACAGCGTGGAAGACAGAGTAAAATACGCCATATCAAAGAGGGATGCAAAGAAAGTCGTCGCTGAAGCAAAGTCTACAGCGTGCAAGAGCGTATACGAAAAACTGGCGACAAAGGAAGGGGAGAAAGACATCTATCGCATAGCAAAAGCCAGAGAAAGAAGAATAAGAGAGTCGGTAATGTGCAGTGCATAAAAGACGAAGATGGAATGGTGCTGACCGATGAGAAAGATATTCCCAACCGATGGCGAAGCCAATTCCAAACGCTACTAAAAGAAGAACATCCCGGAGAGGTCCAGAAGAGATCCCTCAAAACCAGGGCCTTGTCGAAAAGACCTTACCGGAGTAAGTGAAAGAATTCTTGAGCAGAATGAAAGATAAAAAAACCCTTAGACCGGACAGAGAAGCATGGAAGGCTCTGGGGCAAGAAGGGCGTGACTTGGCTCTGCGC